TTGGTAGAATCCTCCCTTAAACCATGTGTATTGCATAAGACACATCGCTCAAAATTTCATGCGGGAGATCAAAGACAAAAAGCTAAGGAAGAAGGTTGTGAACGCAGGGTATGCACTAATAGAGCCTACTTCCAAACATTGTCGTGATGAGATCAGACTGACAAACGCAGATGCATTAAGATGGATTGATAATATTCAACTAGATAAATGGACAAGAGCATACGACAATGGCCAGCGATGGGGGCACAAGACAATAAACCTCGTTGAATCAATGGATTATGTATTCAAGGGAATCCGAAACCTACCGATAACTGCTTTGGTAAGGGCAACATATTTTAGGCCCGGGGCACTTTTTGATATCAAACGTACAAAGTGGGGTTCTGTTTTACAATCTGAGCATCTGTATAGTAATAGTTCAATAAACTTCATGAAGGACGAAGCTGCCAAAGCTAACACACATATAGTCACAGTCTTCGGTCGTAATAAAGGTTGGTTTAATGTTGCAGAGTCAATTGATCACAATAAAGGGAGACCTAGGGGATGTTATCGAGTGGAACTAGATAGGAGTTGGTGTGATTGTGGAAAGTTGCAGGCATTTCGTATGCCTTGCTCCCATATTATAGCAGCATGTTCGAAGGCTCACCAGGACCCAACTAATTGTCTTTCTGTTGTTCACTAAGTCATTAGTCTATACAATGTCTACATCACTAGCTTTCAGGTGGTAGCAAAGGAGGACTATTGGCCTCCATACGAAGGATAAATTGTCTGGCATAATGATTTGATGCGTAAAAAGAAAAAGGGTCACTCTAATAACACGTGTATTTGAACAGAGAATATACAGCAAACAAAATGGTCAGATTATGTAGTCCGTGCCGGCAGCTGGGATACAATCGTACAAAATATCCCAATATAGGATCAATCACAAGATCATAGTTTTAAATGTAACCTTGTCTCTTTATATTAACAAAAAAATTTATTCTATTGATAGCATACCTAAGCGATTACAATTAACAGCAACATAACTTAAACAAACATAACTTAATATCTCAACAGCAATAATTAACAACAACATAAACTAGTACCAAAATAATAATCAGAAAATAACAACAACATACCCAAATAAAACAACTCAATGCATCAACTTGTCTAGGATATTACAACCATCAAGATAATTTTCTTTGGTGTTAACATCTTCATAAGGACACCAACATCATTTTCCACTTTTCTCCAATCACGAGTAACTCCATTTCGACCTGACTCCTCAACTAGCCTCTCAATTTTCCTTATATTTTCACCTGCAGCAATATCTCCTTCTAGCCAATGGTTCAGTTTCCTATGCAAATGCTTCAAGGTCTGCGTGTTCCAGAGTAGGACTTTCATCAGAGGCTTTGTTGCTGAAAAATAAACTAAGGCATTTCTTTTCATAAGTGGAAATGTTGGAAGCGGCTCCTCCGATGATGATGATGACGATGAACGTTGATTTAAAAATGCAGACATACTTTTAGATTGAGTTGAAAATATTTGTGATAATTGTTGTGGAGAGTTGATGATATTTGTGATAATTGTTGTGGAGTAACAGATGAGTGTGCAGTCTTATTTATAGAAAAATGAAATAGTGTAGTCGCCATATGATATGACGTATCTACCCTTTAAAAAAATCATTTCAGTTAAAAATTAAAATAAAAAATAACAAATCAAATATGGATTAAAAAAAAAGATTACACTGAGGCGCCATATCATATGGCGCCTCCTCTGGAGAACTAGGACAAACCAAAATGTAGTCGTCATATCAAATGGTGCATTTATAACAATTTTATCCTATATAATTCACGTCCATCTTGATATGCGCGTGCGATTGTAAAAATGAACGTGAATTTATAACTGAATTGAAAACTGAACGTGAATTTATAACTGAATTGAAAACTCACGTGAATTTATATAGAGTTTCAGTGAGGTTGGGGTTGATGAGGGTGTTGTGATTTTTGAAAATTTTATAATTGAAAAAAAAAATTGTTTGTTAAAGGAGAAGGTATTGTACTTTCTTTTATCTTCTCTTTCACTAATCAGTGGATGGTTTTTATTTGTTTTGAGTTAGACAAGTTAAATAATTAAACATGATACACTAATTTTATATGATTCATATTAAATGTAAAAGGTGGGTTTTCTTAAAATTGAAGAAATTTTAGATCTAATATTTAAATAATTTAATCTAATAATTTTAGAAATTTATTGACATGGAAATTTCATATTTAGAATCAAGGTATATTATATTTTAGGTGTATATTAATAAAAGGTTGTTATGTCACACCTATTTTTAAGATTTGAGTGCTAAATAATTGCATTTTATTGTGTGTGGAATGAAAATTATTTGGAAGGGTGATCCAATTTTTTAGCTAAATAATTAATATCAAATATTTTATTTATTTTTTATGCAGAATATTACTTAATGATTTATTTCTAATTCAGATTTATTATTAAGAGAACTATGTGATTGATTGGAAAAAAATAGATAATGTTTTTCTCTCTCAAGCGGCATGTAAATGAAATGTGTAGGGGTTGTTTCGTTACCTGCATGTGTTGATGGCGTTTTTCTCTCTCAAGCGGCATGTAAATGAAATGTGTAGAGGTTGTTTCGTTACATGCATGTGCTGATGGCGTTTTTTCTCTCTCAAGCGGGCGACATGTAAATGAAATGTGTAGGGATTGTTTCGTTACCTGTATGTGCTGATGGCGTTTTCTAATGTCTTATAAAACATAATAGTAATGTTTAATTGATTATTATTAAATAATGTTTAATTGGTTATTATTGAATATTTTAATTATATTAATTTTTCTTTTAGTCTGAGTGGTATAAAAGACATGTGTACCTGATGTGCAAATAAGTATGATTGTAAAATCAAAATTGTTCCACAATATTGTAACTATAGTTTTTGTTCTATACATATTATATGTTATAGGAATAGCACTGAAGGTTTTATGAAAAAGAAAATAATGATATAAATCATTTTTCTTTTTAAAATTGTTATAATTGCAAATTTATTTTAGGTTCAATTATGTAGATTTTCTTGCCAAATATTATATAGGATAAAATATTATAATTATTTTGAGGCATTTTGAAGCAATTTAAATTATTTTATTCTTGAATTATATTAATTTATTAATAAATAGAGTTTTATATTTGTTTGATATTACGATTTATTCGTTGTTTATGAGTCATTTTGAGATGATACTATAATATTCTAGAAGTCATTATAATTACAAATTTATTTTAGGTTCAATTATGTAGATTTTCTTGGCAAATATTATATAGGATAAAATATTATAATTATTTCGAGGCATTTTGAAGCAATTTAAATTGTTTTATTCTTGAATTATATTAATTTATTAATAAATAGAGTTTTATATTTGTTTGACATTACGATTTATTCGTTGTTTATGAGTCATTTTGAGATGATACTATAATATTTTAAAAGTCATTAAAGTTTAATACCTTTACTCACAAGGATAAATTTCACATTCTTTTTTAGGTTAGTTGTATTTAATTATTTATTAATTTTGAATCTTTAGTAACTATTATATAATAATTGCATACAAGGAGAAATTTCTTAAAATATTATTCATTTTCTTTTTGAAATTAAAATTATGCAAATTTATATATATATATATATATATATATATATATATATATATATATATATATATATATATATATATATATATATATATATATATATATATATATATATATATATATATATATATATATATATATATATATATATATATATATATATATATATATATATATATATATATATATTGTTGAAGATTAGAATTTGCTTGAAAATGGGAATACTGAGATAATTTTGTATTATCTAGTGTTGAAGTGATTTCTCGATCATAAAATTCACGTCCATCTTGATATGTGCGTGCAGTTGTAAAAATGAACGTGAATTTATAACTGAATTGAAAAACTCGCGTGAGGTGAGTTTGTTCATCAATCTTGAGATCAAGATTGAAGGAAATTCTTTATAGGGTGTGAGGTGAATTTACAACAATATAGTAAATAAAATCGATTACAATAGTAAATGAAATTGATTATAATAATTTATTAATAAAAGAAGAGTAGACATAGTTAAAAATATATGTGTTCCAAGCCAATAGATAAAGTACAAATTTAAGATATTCATTCGTAGAAAAATATTTCCTTAAGTTATCGATATAGATTTTCGGAAGAATGAATCTTTAAGACATATTTTTTTCTCATTTTATATTAAAAAATATCAAATAAAGAAAAACATGAAAGAAGATAACTAATATAGTAAATAAAATCGATTACAATAGTAAATAAAATCAATTATAATAATTTAATAAATAATTTTATATCTAAAAAATATATAAAATAAAATTTTAAATAAAAATTACTGTTAATTTTAAAAATATCTCATTTTAAATTATGCTTCAAGCCTCAACGTGTATTGGGGATCGGTCCAAATAATATTTTAACTCTTCTTTATTCAAAGAATGCCTCAATGTTGAATTATTTCTAAATATATTTGTCTTCGAAATAATTAAATTGGATGGAAAATCTTATAAAACAAATATTATTTCAGGTATTTCCTTTTTATTAGTAGTGTAATTTACTTATTTTTTATTAAACATTTTAGTCGCATGGAAAAATTTGCATTTCCTTGATATTTTCCATGTAATTGGCCTCTTTATGGATCACCGCTGGATTGCTGGATTTGGAAAAATTTGCATTTCCTTCATATTTTCCATGTAATTGGCCTCTTTATGGATCACCGCTGGATTGCTGGATTGCATTACAGTTAGAAGGAAAGCATATTACACAGTCTAAAAAACTGCCACAGCTAATTCGTATTATGTAAAAAGCATATTACACATAAAGCAATTATAAAGATCTAACATTTAAAGCAATTATAAAGATCTAACATTTAACTGAGCAACAACCGTAGAATTGAAAAGTATATTTTCTAATTCTAAAAATAAATGGGTATATCACCTAAGTAATTGTTATCAACAACTCCATCATAGATTTCAATCTTGTCTCCTTCTTTCACCCCGTGCCACTGAAACGACCTATCTTCATACATAACTTCACGGTTATGAACGAAAAAGTAATTACCGTCTTGCCGAACAACATTCTTCTTGTAACTTTCCAGAAACATCTTTAAATCACTTACTTTCGTAAATGGTTCTATTTCGCTAACCATAAAATCACCTTCCCCTCTATTAGTCCTAGGAACCATCGTCACACTCAATGTTCGTGATTCTGAATTTAACAACGGTGTTGCCGGTGCTTCTCGCGGTTGTGTTGCCGGTGCCTCTACCGGTGATTCTTGCGGTTCTCGCGGTTGTGTTGCCGGTGCCTCTACCGATGATTCTTGCGGTTCTCGCGGTTGTGTTGCTGGTGCCTCTACCGATGATTCTTGCGGTTCTGGATTCTTGGTTCGTGTGTCAGGAATGGTTCGGAGATGAATGATTGAAAAGTGAGTGATGTCGGTCGCTAAGATGATGTCGGCGTCGTTGAGAAATTCGTTGTTGAAGATTAGAATTTGGTTGAAAATGGAAATGTTGAGATACTTTTGTATTATCTCTTTTACTTCTAGGATAGTGTTGAAGGGATTTAACTCCAGTGTGAAAGATTCTCCACTCTCGATCACGAAATTTACGTCCATTTTGATATGCGCGTGTGGTTGTAAAAATGCACGTGAATTTATAACTGAATTGAAACGGTGTACCTTGTACCTTATAAGATTGAAGAGACTTAAGCTTATAAGATTGAAGAGAGACTGTTGTATAAGATTGAAGCGAGACTGTTGTCGAAGCTTGTGAGTATGAGAGAATTATTACCCTTATTATCGTTTAGAATTTTCAGAGTAATTTAATTGTCTAATGGAGAGACACTTAAATAGATAAACGGCTGAGGGTAGTAACCTCTCATTGGGCTTAACTGATGGTCCAACCCATTACGGTCCATTCAGACACAAAACCCAATCAAACATTTCATTTATTTAGTGTTTAATAACAATAGATCATAATATAATTAATTAATTATGTCAATCCATATTTAATTAATTAAATAATTAATTTAACATATATAATTAATTAAATAATTATGACAAACGATGCAACTTGAATATCACTCTGCTGAAGAATTTATTCGATACAACAATTCAAGAAAATATCCAAAGGACCAAAGAAACTATCATTTTACAGATCAACCTATGGATTTCTACTACATGATTGTAATCAAACTTGTTTTTCTTCATCTTTCTGTTCATCTTTGACTGCTAACGCATCATCATCACCTTGTTGTTCATCATCCAATGGAAGTGCGATTTCGTGTCCCCGTGGCAAGAACACGTTGAATCTTGAAATTAAATCTTTATGCTCTTTAAACAACTCTAACACTCCTTCTTTGAAAACTCCGATATCAATTCTTCTGCCATGGTAATTGTACAGGAGTCTCAAAAATTCAGTATATTTGTCTGTCGTAACCACAGATTTTGCTTTCTTTACGAACACCAGTTCATGAACAAACATGGGATCTCTTCTTGATCTGCTCATATTGAAGGCTGAAACAAAAACTTAAAAATTATAGAGGGGAGAGAGAAGAGAAGTATTAAAGAGGTAAATGAGTATTTGAGAGGCTTTGGGTCTATATATAGAGCTTGTAGAAAACTAAAAAACCAACTATCTATTAACTCTTCTAACTAACTTAGATTACAATAAAAGATATTTGAAAACATAAGAAGAAAAAGAAAAAAACCAAGAAACCAAATGAGTTAAATCCTAACAAACATGGATTGTAGGCTTTGTTTGGATGCAAAGAGGATGCGGAGGAAAGAACGTAAAAAAGAAAGAATGTTAAATGAGTTAAAGAGAGTAGAAAATGAATAAAAAAATAAGATGATTTTTAAGATGTTTGTTAACCGAAAATAGAAAATGAGAATATATATATATATATATATATATATATATATATATATATATATATATATATATATATATATATATATATATATATATATATATATATATATATATATATATATATATATATATATATATATATGTGTGTGTGATATTTTGGTATTCAACAAAGAGAACGAATAAAAAATTACACAAATAAACTGGAGTTTCTCGTGAACTACCAAAGTTAGCATAATGTGCTGGTTACCGGAGACGGAATTGCTGCAAAGAACATGAAGATTGTTGCTGGTATTGGTTTAAATTTCTAGTCTTTGGACTAGGGACCATATTATCACTCGTTTTCTTTCTCTATCGCAGATATATTTTCAGGTTCCGTTTCATACATCTATTTTTTTATCTTGAATTTCTTGTAAATCGTCTTCTGTATTGCGGATCTAGAGTGATGGGTATACATGAAAACTAGGTTGAGATCCAAAGGGGAAAGAACAAGGGGGACAAAACACCTAGGAGATCAGTTTGGACAGCAACAGGTAACAAAGTATCTACGGGGGCTAAAGATAAATTGGCCTTCTTCTTCTTCACAGAATTTCCAGAAGGTTTTGTAGCTAATGAGATGTTTGACATTTTCAAAGAATATGGTCTGGTTTTGGAGGTGGTCATCCCCCCAAAACGCTATAAACGGGGGAAGTGGTTCGACTTTGTAAGATTAAAAAATGTTGATGATGAAAGACTCGTGGCAATCAAACTTGACAACATTATAATTAATGCTATAAAGCTATATGCCAATATGCCTAAATTTCAACGAACTGGCATGTGGACTCGCAACGAAGAAAGGATGTATCAGCCATACATAACAAATATGCACTTGGGAAGATCTAAGGATAGCGGCCAAAACATGGTATTAGAAGAAATAGATAAAAGTTGTTGTAGTTTTATTCCTCAACCAAATACTGATTTATATAATGGAAATACAATAAAAATACTTAATTCTCTCCTTAATTGAGAATAAAAGAAAATAAATGACAATAAACGTAAACAATTAACTATGGAAATAAAATATTTTCCAACACCCCCTCTCAAGTTGGTGCATAGATATATATCATGTCCAACTTTTCTATCAAATGCTCAAAGGTAGGTCTTGCCAAACTTTTGGTCAGGATATCCGCAGTTTGCTGACTTGAAGTCACGAAAGGTAGACATATGATTCCAACATCTAACTTCTCCTTTATGAAGTGTCGATCAATCTCAATATGCTTGATTCTGTCATGTTGAACTGGATTATAAGTTATGCTAATAGCGGTTTTACTGTCAGAGTACAATCTCAATGGAAGCTCAACTTTCATCTTAAGTTCTTCTAAGACTCTAAGGATCCATAATACTTCACAAATACCTTGAGTCATAGCTCTAAACTCGGCTTCTGCACTACTCCTTGCTACAACGCCTTGTTTCTTGCTCCTCCAAGTCACAAGATTACCCCAAACATAGGTACCGTATCCAGAGGTTGATCTTCTATCGGTGACTGAACCTGACCAATCAACATCGGTGAAGATAGACACATTCCTTTTACTAGTATTCTTAAAAAATAATCCTTTTCCAAGATTTCCCTTCAGATATCTCAATATCCTATACAATGCCTCAAGATGTTCTTCGAAAGGAGAATGCATAAACTGACTCACTACACTGATTGAGGAAGCAATATCAGGTCAGGTGTGTGACAAATAAATCAGTTTCCTAACCAATCTCTGATATCTTCCAGTATCAACAGGAACATTACCTTCTCCCCAAAGTTTAGCATTAGGATCCATAAGGGTATCTGCAGGACGACATAAATTCATTCTTGTTTCTTTCAATAAGTCTAGAATGTATTTCTGCTGTAAAACCATAATACCATTCTTTGATCGAGCAACCTCCATCCTAGAAAATATCTCATGAATCCCAAGTCCTTATTTTTAAAGTCTACTCCCAATTTCTCTTTTACCCTTACCATTTCCACTGTATCGTCTCCAGTAAGGACAATATCATCAACATAAACAATCAGAATAACAACTTTCCCATCGTTGGAGAATTTTGTGAACATGGTGTGGTTAGCCTGTCCTTGAATGTACCCTTGATTCTTCATGGATTGAGTGAATTTTTCAAACCAAGCTCTAGGAATCTGCTTTAATCCATACAAAGACTTATTTAGTTTGCATACATTTGATCCAAATTTGTTTCCAAAACTAGGACGAATGTACATATACTTCTTTTTATAGATCACCATTAAGAAAGGCATTCTTATTATCTAACTGATGTAGGGGCTAATCCAGGTTAGCAACAAGAGATAAAAGAATTCTTATAGTGTTAAATTTTGCAACAAGAGAAAATGTCTCTGAGTAGTCTATACCATAGGTCTGAGTGAAGCCTTTAGCCACCAAACGAGCCTTGTACCTTTCAATTGACCCATCTGAGTTATACTTCACACTAAACACCCATTTGCATCCAATTGTCTTCTTACCATCTGGTAGTGACATAACACTCCAAGTTTTGTTCTTTTCAAGAGCTTTCATTTCCTCAAGTACAACTTCTCTTCACTTTAGAATTTCTAGAGCACCCTGAACACTTTTTGGAATTTCTACACTAGACAACTTTGAGGTGAAGGCAGACATAGATGAAGACAAATTTGAATATGAAATAAAATTGAACACGGGGTGTTTAGTGCAAGATCTGACAAGTTTTCTAATGGCAACATGATCATCTATATCAAGATACAAAATACGACTCTCAGAAATAGAGATAAACTTCCCTTTCCTTTTGTTAGGAGGTTGATCATTCCCTAGTTCAGATTCTTGGCAGTGTTGAGATATGAACCCATCCCTTCATTTATGGCGCTTTTTCATAAAAAACCTTCCCTTTCCAAGTCCTATTTCCTAATTTGAATTTGTTTTCTTGAAGTGACTCATTGTTTTATGGCATTTCAATTAGATCATCATTATCATCATTTTCAGGATTCTCATTGTTTTCTACAAGAGAAAATGTAGGCTCGGATTCACAAGGCTCCTTACTCATAACATGAGTAGGATCATATACAGAATCATGACCATTTTCTGTTGGTGCAGATGTAAAAGTCTCAGAATTTTGTGGTACAGGCAAAAATAATTTTTTCAAAAAACTCATATCCTCAATTTGAAACGAGTCTTCCTTTATCTCCCCCCCTTGAAGATGAGTGCCATCAAAGAAAAGTTTATTTTCAAAAAATGTAACATCCATAGTGACAAACATTTTCTTGTTTTTTGGATCAAGACATTTATATCCTTTTTGGGTTGAAAAGTATCCAAAAAAGACACATTTTGTAGCATGTGGCTCAAGTTTTCCAACCTTTTTATGTTCATGAACAAAAATTGTGCAACCAAATATTTTTAAAGTCAAATCAGTTAAAACACAAGAACTAGGAAAACATTCATTGAAGACATTAATTGGAGTTTGAAAATTGAGATTTTTTAAGGGCATTATGTTATTTAAATATGCAGTTGTTAAAACAGCTTTGCCCCACAAATAATTTGGTACTTTATTCGAAAAAAGTAGAGCTCTAACAACCTCCAATAAATGTCTATTTTTCCTTTCGGCTACTCCATTTTGTTGAGGAGTATTAGGACATGAACTTTGATGTACAGTCCCATTTTTTAGAGAAAAATCATCCAGGGTAGTGTTAAAATATTCTTTGTCATTATCAATTATAAAAACTTGGATATTTGTTTGAAATTGG